GAATGGCTATGCTCAACCTGGCGATGTCTGCCCGATCGATCTTCCGGACGACTATTTCCGCATCCGACTGGTTTGCGCACTGCTGGAGACCTGCGGACACTGTTTTGAGAAGGGCGCCGCAAAGAAGAAGCTCGACTTTTACCTTTCCTTTCTGCAGTATTACATCAATGTCAAGGACCCACTACCGATGGATATTGAATTCGTGGTTCAAGATACTTTTAATCTACTTCGGCCACAGTGGAAGCTGGTCCTAGGCGACCTCCCTGAAGCGAGCCGGGTCTTCTCTGAGGCCTGCAAGCTGCATTACCAGACCACTGCATCGAACCAGGCTCCAGAACCGGAAGAGGCCGAAGAGCTGGAGGCCGAAGGCAATCTTTCAGGTGATGATGGCGAAGAGGACCCTGCTGAAGGCGAGGATGCCAACAAGTCCGACAGCGATGATGCCAAAGTACAAGGTGATGACGACGAAGTACGAGCTAATGAGTCTGACGAAGAAGAGCACATTGTGGTGACTCGACCAGAAGACCAAAGAGACCCAGAAGCAGACGCCGATTTTGACCGCGAGCTTGCCAAGCTCATGGCAGAGAGTGTTGACTCGCGCAAGTTCGAGCGCAAAACGATGTTCGATGTTCCGCTTCCCATGCGTCGCAGTGTTCGCGACGCCACTACTACCGCTGCTGAAGATAGCGGTGGTGAGGGTCAAGCACCTGCGCCGACGAATGGAGTGGGCACGATGAAGTTTGCGCTTCTCAGCAAGAAAGGCAACCGCCAGCAGGTATGTGACGGGCTCACTCCTCCATCTCTGTCTCGAGCATGCTAACAATGTTATCAGACCCGATCGATCGACCTGCCTTCCGACTCCTCCTTTGCCGTGGCGATGCGCACTCAGCAGCAAAATGAGCGTGCCGAGCAGCAGCGAATCAAGAATCTCGTGCTCAATTACGACCTTACAGACGACCAAACAGATGGTGATTCACCCAGCTTTCATTACGTCAATGCTTCAAACAACAACGTTCGACTTGTCGGTACAGGCTTGCTCAACCAGCGCGGTCTGACACTGCCGCGCAGCTCTCGACAGAAGAGTGGCGAGGCAATTGACAAGGAGAACGGCCCCTGCCTAGACACTGCTTCATCTGCTCGACGCGACTCATTGACTGACGAGACAGGCGGCTTCGAATCCCTGCGTGGCGCACCACGATACGATAAGGCAGGAAATACTCGCAGCAGACAGCGGGCGAGAAAGTTACAGTTGGGAGACATCGACTGGTATGGCAACCGCTCTACTTCTGTTTCAAAACAAGCTCAGGAACGCAACGAGAGCCATCAGAGTCTCGACCAGCATGTTGGCGACCAGAAGTCGGCAAATGGTCGCGATTCGGGCACTCGGCGTCAGCGGGCGAGAAGAAGCAAAGGCTAACAGGCGACATGATCGCGATTGCAGGACGTAAGGCCATGACATGGGACAAAGAAGTTGTCCTTCACACTGAAATATGATACCGAACATGATGCTCGAGTCATGATACTTTTTTTTGCCAACAACAGCATAACATACAATGCTGCTCTGCGCTGGCTACTAGCCGACCTACTGCCTCGATCAACCCAATGCCGACTGCGACTACGACCACGAGCTCGACCTCGACCACGATGTCGACGATGGAGACGAGAAAGAGTATGAATGCGTGCTGGAGACAGCAAAGGTAAGGACGACACACGGCGTTCCAAGAGCAAAGCTCGGGCGTGACAAGCAAAGAAGGGGGAGGTAGAGAACGAGGCAGTATGGGAATTCGAAGTCCAGAGGCAGACAGGGATTGGAGAAGCATGAATTGCGCGAGCACCCTCACTTCGGAGCAGAGCAGAGGCGATGAGGAAGTTTTCAAGAATGCTTTAGCTCCCGAGGAGAGATGGATGGGGGCGAGGAGAAGAAATGCTGACCGCAGTCACTCATTTGCATGCTTTCCTAGAGTTACAAGTTTGAAGTAGCGAGAGAACAAAGACCAAGATTGGTGGAGCTCGAATGTTTTCCAGGTTTCATCATGCTGTGCTGTCCATTGATATGCATACAATCTCGTTTTCATAAGAGTCATCAGGTCATTCATTAGGTCCAAAGTCATCCACCGCCTCCCTCCTCTACCGCCCCCCAACATTCGAAGTCGAATAATAGCCCTGCGGACTCACGGGTGCCCCAGCCAACGTCTGCTCCATCACGCCACGTTTGTACTCAGTCCGGCTGTAATTACTCTGAGCCGTCTGAAGCGCAGGTCTACTGACTTCATCGGCGGTTCCCGCAGCAGCTACGGCTTCTTGGTAATTGCTGGTCGTCTTACGTTGCAGCACAGGTTTTTCGGCCGAGTCGTTGTG